CAGCAACCCGCGCACCCAACCGAGGCGCTTGCACATCTCCGTCGCAGCGCCCAAACGCTGCGCTACGTCCCCCTCGTTGGCGGCGTTGATAGCAACGTCCACCTGCACCAGGCTGATGAGGGCATTTGCGTGAAAGTACGGCGAGCGCGTCGGTGCCGTCATGTGCACCATAGTCGCGTGCAGCGCGCGGGCCTCGGCGTACTCGCTCTTGAGGAAATGTGCTCCCGCCTGCACATCAAGCACCTTGACCTCCAGGGAGGAGCCCACCGCGGCGCAGGCCACCAGCAGGTCGCGCACCTGGTTGCTCAACACGAGTGAGTGCGCCAGGCGGCCTAGCAGGGCCCACGCACGCGCTTCGGACAGCAGGCAGTCGCACTCGTCTTGCAGCAGGCCCGCGGGACGTGCGATGCGTTGACCTGCACGTGCGTACACGATGCTCTGCTGCAGGTCTCCACGCTTGGTCTCTAGCAGGGCCCGTTGATGCGTAGCGATCAGCTGCTGGGCGACGTTGTGCGTTGCCGCTGCCGAGGCCATAGCAAGATTGCAGAATTCCAGCGCCTTTTTCGAGTCTCCCGTTTTAGTGCAATACTCTGAAACTGCCGTGTAAAAAGCGGCTCGATAGAGGAGAAAACATATTAGTAGGGAGGCCAGAAATTGCGTGATCATTAGCCAGATACCTTGCTCAATAATTTCGTCTCCCAGCAGTAAACCATCGAAGTGTTGAATGCCTTGAGCGATGAGTTTTTCTGTATCTGCGGACGAAATGGGAGGACCCCATCCGAGAAGACAGACATTCGTGTATCGCCACCGCAGTTTCGCGTCACCTATAGACTCAATGGCATCCGGTATATAGTCCATAAGCGCAGTACCACCCTTCAGCATTTGGTGTGAAAACCTGTCGAGTGTCAGAACACTGTCTGCAATGTCTAACGACACCCGCCCCTCTCTAGTCAGTCCGTTCAAGATGAGGCTGTGGATGTTCCCGAGATTCGACGTAAGCTGGAAGACAAGGTCGCCCGACGAAAAGTGCGTTTGTGCGGACCACACTGCTAGCAGGTCCTGAAAATGAGTCCGGAGTGGTTTGACGAACACCGGCGCGGGGGGGTGCGCACGGTGCACGTATTCGCGGATGGGACTCAGCACTTTGAGCCGTCCGTCATGGTCAATATAAGCTAACGAGGTGCGGATAAGCGTTGACTTGCAGTGCAGGACATTGCGGACAGGAATAGTCGGCGCGAGCAGGTAACTGTCGGATATTCCATCGGGCAGCAGGGAGAGGAGGCTGAGGAGTTGCTTGGCGTCGGAAGAGGATGCGATGCGCGGGCTTGTGAGGGACATGATGATCGACTGCTCGAGATTGGCACATTTATCAGCACCTTCTGAGAGGAGTGTCGTATGTTCAGTTTTCCACCGGGAAAGGGCGCGCGCATAGCCCTCGAACGAAACCACGCTGGCCATCAAATTCACTGCCAGCGGGAGATGCCCTGTCAAGTCAAGGAGTTCGGACAGTACAGATTCTTCGCCGATTTCTGGTTCGTCAGCAATTTCAACGAAGGTTTGGCGTGTGGCCGAGGCGGGAAGGGGCCGAAGGGGAGGAAGGAAAGGCCGGCTCCATTTGACCTTTGCTGGCCTTTCTGCACCACGCATTGTGATCTTAGAACATCTTCAACTCCCTGAGCTCATGGAGAATGAAATGAACTGCTCACCAATAGTGTGAAATGAGGCACATCTGTCAATGCAGACAAGAAATCCTCGACCTGAGGACGGGTTCCCACCGGCTCCCATGGCGTCTCAAGATTATCTAGCACCAATACTGCCGGGCCACACTCTTGGAAGTGCATCACAATAGCTTGTGAGGGCTTTGTTGACAGCTCAATACCAAGGTGCAACCCGATCATGGCAATCAAATCGGTCGCGTTGTTGGCCGCTTCGCAAGACACAAAATGGCGGTGGCCATATCTTTGCACTATGCTCGGGTGGTGTAGACAGGCAATAGCAAGGGTCGTTTTCCCGATGCCACCAGGGCCTAGAACTGCCACCCGCGCAGCAGGGCAAAGAAGAGCGACGACATCTTGTACCTCGACTTCCCGTCCGTGGAATATTTTGGGGGATGCGGGAAGTAAGGAGAAGACACTGGAGCTACACAGGATGGAGTCAGCATGATCTGATGAGTTCAGTGATAGGTAAATATTTGCCTATTGCTGAGATGAAGAAGACTCCCTCGAGTCTAGATTGATCACTAAGTCTCCGATGAAAAAAGGCAGACTGAATTTCTTTACCGACACAGTTATCTTGGATGATTCTCCGTCGCTTTGGGCTGAAAGTAGTTCAAGCACTTCTTGATGACGCTGTTCATTCTCTGTATCAAATTTCAACATTTTGGCCACAAGATCGGCACCAGATCGTATCTGACCAGACTCAGGTCAGTGGGTAATCCCTGATAGTGCACTACATCCTTACCATGAAGACATTCAGTGCAGAGTTGAGCTCTGCTTCACAGCTTTCGAGTTGTGCTGTGATCTCACTTTGCCTAAAGAAACGCCTGAATGTGCCAAGTTCTTGTTGAGACCGAAGGCACCCATGAAATTTTTGGAGAGTCCTGTGCAGGGCATAAGATACAGCAGCTGGCAACACTAGAATGAACACACTGAGCAATTCCGCTGATGTTATCCAGCATTTGCGGAGATATGTCCAATTCTGGGTGAAAAGAAAGTGCAAGGAGTGTGCACAGCAGCCGATGAGTTTCCTCCAGTATTTGCACACACTTTTCTTTGTTCGCTTTGGTGTTCTACAGGATCCATTGAGCCAGTACGGGTTCCAAATCGAATGAGTACGTACTTGCACTATGGGCAGTATCGAAAGAGATACTGTAGCAACGTTGACCAAAAAAGGTACATCCTTAATGTCCGAAGTCTTCCGGAGAGCATTTGCAGCGACTTCAATGTACTGGACAACCCGTTTTACAGAATCTTGAGAAGCTTTGGGCATCGGAAAGACTGCGATGTCAGATCGTGGTGCAGGTCGTCATTTTATAGCTTCTGAAATTCATATCACGGCTGATACTGAAGACGCCGCGAGGAAGCCAGAGCGCTGTCGATTTTCACCATGTTTCAGCGTTGCCGTAGTGTAAGTCCAAGTATGTCTATATTTCGTCGGCAGAAGGGCTTATAGCGCTTAAGGTGCCGCGTCGGCACCAATATATATAGTACGATGGAGCTTGAAGAAGCGGCAAGAGGAAAGAAGAGACCTAGAATATCTCCTCCTGGCCTTTCAACGGCAGCCAGCTTCGATGGGATGCACCATGAGATCGGTAACAGAACACTTGGGTTGGTGAAATTTGGGTGAACAGTCGGCCTGCCAGGGCATACGTAGCGGCGACAACGAAACCCCCTTGGCCTCCCCCACTCTGACATCCCAAAAGGGGAATGCTTACAAATAGATAACATAACACTGACGGTCAGTGCACCACTATGACATCACGTGATCACTTTCCCAGCTTGTGTCAGCCATTCCGATGTCAGTGTTCACACTGAGAAATTCTGAAACCAAGTTCATTGTCATGTCCTTGGTTTTATTTAACAGCACAGAGGGACTGTGTGTTTACAGAGTGATTTTAATTACTTCTTGTTTGAATTTAAGCTATAAAAAGCCTTACACTGGTTGAGCATTTCAATTTTTTCACCTTCTTTTTCAGTGAAAAATGTTGTTTATTTTTCAGACATTTTTCACTGAAAAAGAAGGTGAAATTTTTAAAACTTTTTCATCACTTTCTCAATTCAAGGTGAAAAATTCGAAATAAAATAAGAAAGTGATGAAAATGTTTTGACATTTTCACCTGCTTTTCAGTGAAAAATGTGTGAAAAATAAACGACATTTTTCACTGAAAAGAAGGTGAAATTTTTGAAATGTTCAACCAGTGTTAAGAAAGGTCAGTTTGGCAATGTACATGTTGAAAATAAAGTCTGTTTGCAGAAAAATTTGCACATCTGCCGCGTCAATTTTAAGGTGAATTTGCGTGTATATGCTGTCATTTTCTGCTCAATAGTCTTATATACGCATTTAGAGCAACATTGATGCTGCCATAAAACCTGCAAATACATATTACTGCCGGCTATTTTCTGTGAGAAAGGTGAAAATAGAGGTGAAAAGCAAAAACTATACATATAGACCAAGTGGAAAGGGTAATAGCGAAAAGTTTGAAGAAAAAACAACTATACACTACCTCTGAGGTTCGAACCCATAGCACCCAATGATTAGGTAACAAGACATCATCACTACTTAACCACTACAGCACGGCAACCATGCCTAATGGTCACAAACATTGCACTATGTGCGACTGGCCGTCTCGGCGAAGAAACGGCACATTGGTCAGCATTTGTCCATTTTAGGCAATGTCAGAGTGGGGGAGGCGTGTGGGAGCTGCGACAACGCGAGGAGGGTGGAACTTGACTCAGTCGTCCGATGACAGTGGCGTTGCGGCTGCTATATATATCCTCTGCTATCGCACTGTACTTATTGGTCGCAAAGTTAATAGTTCGATCTTCGAGTAGTAGGACCAGCGATATGATAATAGGTGAGAAGGCCTGTTTTGATTTCCGGGATTTTGTCGGGATTTGACCAGGGCTACGGCCCAAAATTGGTACAAAAATGTCAAGATTTCGTTCCAGGCCAAAATTTTCGCCCCCAAGCGGGCTATTTTGAAAAAAATTCTTGCCGCTGACGCGATTTTGTGTCGGGATTGGACAAGGCCAAAACGTTGTTTTGGCCGAAATTGTCGGGATTTGGACCACCCCTAGAGGCCCAAACTCCCAAAAAAATTGTCGGGATTTGCATCAGGGATCCAGACCTATTATCATCGGTCCTCTGGTAGTCTCCTATTCCGAAGCGATCTCCTGCTGTTTCGAATATCCCCGCCCGATCACATCCGACCAAATTGGGACAAAATAATATCTTCGCTAGTCTTGTGGTGCTTTAAAGCCGTTAAAAGCCTTAGCTTTTACGGCCGTATGGTCTAGAGGTACGATACCTGCTTTGGGCGTTTCGTAGTTGCAGGTGGCCCGGGGTTCGAATCCCCGTGCGGCCCTTTTTTGCTTTGCAAATTTTTGTTACACCGAAGTAGACAGACACATCTTCTTGGAGTTGACTCACCGTACGTCCGGCACTGCCCCGGAACATTAGGGGCAGTCAGAGTCGAGGATTCTGGCGGTGGGAATTGTATTGCATCAGAATTGTGTCCAATTCTGACTGTCCCACAATTCTCTGAAGGATGCTAAGTACCTACAATTCATGGACCTTCAGCTATCGGTTACGTACTCAATCAGGATGTTATCTACATCTGAGGTCTCCTCGGAGTCCTCGCTGCCTCTGGGGCCCACTGTCACCTCGATTTCATCATCTCCATCCTCCTCCTCGAGCTGAAGATTCTTCTTCGGACGCCCTCGCTTCATTTTGGCACCGTTGACCTTCTCGTCTTCTTGGGCTTCAGCGGCCGCAATAGAGGCGACCTCCTGCCTTTGCTGAAAGTGATTGGTCAGCAGAATTATGTAGTCACAAAACAAGTTGTAGTGTCCTTATCACTGGTTGAACATTTCAAAATTTTCACCTTCTTTTTCAGTGAAAAATGTCGTTTATTTTTCACACATTTTTCACTGAAAAAGCAGGTGAAAATTTCAAAACATTTTCATCACTTTCTTATTTTATTTCGAATTTTTCACCTTGAATCAAGAAAGTGCTGAAAATGTTTTAAAATTTTCACCTTCTTTTTCAGTGAAAAATGTCTGAAAAATAAACAACATTTTTCACTGAAAAGGAAGGTGAAAAAATTGAAATGCTCAACCAGTGTATAAGCTTATGTATTAGAAAGTGAAGGCATTGTTAATCGGAATTATCGAATCTTTTTCAAAACTGCCTCCAGAGGCGCTTCGAGGATTCTGAGGCGATTTGGGATTTAAGTGATTCTCCCATGCTTACAAGTGCAGTCACTGCCATGTTCGTCCCCAGGCTGCTGTTCGATTTGGGGTAAAAGATTCAGTTCAAGGTGCGTGCTACTTTGTTCCATTCAGTTCCTTGCTAATCGGATTCAAGTAGAAATTTCAGAATGCGGTTAGTGCGTACTACGTATTGACTATGGCACTGCAGCGACACCTTCCAACCTGAGTTGCCCTTACGGCGCTGGTCCGCACTTACACGTCATCGCGCCGGTGGGGTCCCGCATACTTGTTGCAGCCGACGCCTCCCGTGTGCCTGTGTGCTGTTGGACTCGGCAAGTCGTCTCGTGTGGGCGCGAACTCGAGACTGCTGCGCCGACTCACGCTCCCACACCTGGCCCTGCGCGTGGTATGCTCGCCTTGCGGACGCGGTCAACACCCAAGTACCGTATCGTTTAGTGGGTGAATCGACGATGTTGCGCCGGCGGAGCTTGGACATTGGTGGCGTGCGCAAGACCCTCACAGGGCCGGGTGTCATCGCCGCACCTCCCAACTCGCGGCACCAGGGCAATGGCCACGGTGACCCGACTTGGGAGGGAGAGCGAGGACGGACAAGCAGGGTGAGGAGGGCCGGAAGAGCATAAAGGAGCGCTGTGGCAGGGTGGGGAGCAAGGTAGTGGGTAAACCACCTATGAGTAACGGGCAGCGGCACGGCGGGTGCACCGTGAAGGCGCACGAGGATGCTGTCGCGCATGGAGCCCACACCGCCCATGCCCGTCAGGCCGATAGCCTGCTGGGCGCCGCCCGAGGTGAAGGGCGGATATTGCCGCTGCTCGGCACACACGGCGGTATGCGTGTGGCCAGTGTCGAGTGCGCAGGTTATGCAGCAGGCGAGCGTTGGTAGGAGAGAACCTACACGATCAGGTAAACTTAAAGGGGAGGGAAAAGATTATCCAACACAAAGGTTCAAGATTGAACAGACACAGGGCCCATTGATCCGACCTTGATCCGACCTGTGTCCAACCCGAGTCGAGCCATACGCTGTAGACCGCCTAGCATTCGCGTTTAGCGTCTGCAACCTGTGGACAACACATCCCATGTTGGCAGCCAGGGATGCGAGAGGTCAGCATGCGCCGAAGGGAGTCGGCTGCACATCTCCGCGCCCAAGTCGGGTATCCGGACGCGCCGATTCCACAGCTGGCCAATCCATACGTCGCCCCGTGTCGCGAATGCGCTGCACAACATTCGGCGTGCGGATGAGCGCTGCGGGTGTGGTCCGCGCAGATGGAGGTGGGAGACGAGGAGAGCGAGAGCGGGAGATGACGAGTAGATAGCTGGAGTAGTCAGGACCAGAGTCGCTCGTAAGAAAACACGGCGTACTTTGCACTCACACCGCCAGACTGTGCCGCCGCGCCTGCGCCTGCCTATGCCTCGCAAGCCGCATCGAACTCGCGGTCTGCGAGGCCGCGTATCCTGCGCTCGCTACGGCGACTGCTCGCGCAATACTGCGCCAGTGCAAGGTGGCAGGTCCGCGTGATGGCGCCCAAGCACGGACCAAGTCGCTTCAGCGCCGTAAGTGCAGCCCGTCGGAGCCCAGGTCGGAAGGTGTCGCTTCAGCGCACTAGTCAATATGTCGCATGTGTACCTACGTAGCACGCAATAACCACATTCTTAAATTGCTATTTGAATCTGATTAGCAAGGAACTGAATGGAATAAAGCAGCACCCACCTTGAACTGGATCTTTTGACCCAAATCGAACAGCAGTCCGGGGACGAACACGGCAGTGGCCGCGCTTGCCGTCCGCATCCGACAGGCATATGTTGACACCGTGTCGTGTGCGCGTCGATTACGCGAGCCCGTGAGTTGCCTATACATTCAAGCACAGGAAACAAGTGTTACGCGGACGTTGAAATTGCAGACCCGCAAGATTGGTGATGTGGTGGAGGAGGAACTTGCCGCCTTCAAACTCGGCATCATCAGTTGCTTGATGTCTAAATGGCAGACGTCCCCCTGGGCGGCCGATGTGAGGATAGTCGGGTGATAGTATAGGGAGTCGACGACCAAGGTCAGAGCGAACTTGGAAGCTTGGAGGCTCTAGCCAAGCAATACCAAATACTGGTACGGTGATCCGAAATCCCGACCCTCCCAAACCACTACCGCCTTGACGCCCCACGACCGACACATCCCGCTCACTGGCCCAGACGATGCACAGTTACCACTGATCACTGCCATCAACAACGCCAAAGACTCTATTGTTTTTTGGGTATGCCAACTTTTAGATGTGTCGACTTCATAATTTTGCGATGTGCTCTCAATCAAAGTTTATATGTCGTGGACGCAAATTTACGATATGTAACTTGATCAAATAGTGCGACGGCTAAAACTTTTGATATACTTCACTTTAAACTTGCGCGATGGTCATCTGGTAAGTTTTTGTGTTGTCTCCCCCAAACATTTTAGCTACTTATTTATTTTACAAAACGAACAGCATAGCCAACAGTCCTATTCTTAGCATATGTAGGACCGTCACATCCGATAATCAACGCCAAATATACTTAGACGCTAGGCCTACACAGGCTGTAACACAGCTCACAGCTCTCCCTCTTGCCACAACTCCACGACCATCGCCTACTATCATCTACCTGGATCTTCTACACTGTCGAATGGTTGATCCCTTTGGAATTATCGGAGTCGTCGGATTCGTTTATGGTACATCTGGCCTACGGTTTCCTTCATAGCCTCGGTACAGTTTTAACACAACACACAGACATTTCGAAGGATATATATGCTCTGCACAAGCGACATCAAAATGATAAGCAGATGTTAATTACCATCGAACATCTTGTAAATCATTCCGGTGCATACGTACAGCGCTTGAAGGCTCGGCAAGAACTTGCTGGGAACGAACATATCGCGGCACTTGGTACGCTAAGACTCTCTAATACCGTCAAAACCTGACTGGGATGCATTTTAGACTCGCTATTTTCAGTCTTCGAAAATGCCGGTAAACGATTGGATGATTTGAAAACCAAACTTCGCGGTGGTTGGCTGGATTTTGGGGTCTATAGCGTTATACGGGAAGTAGATGAAGAGCTCGAGAAAGGTTGTGTTGATTCATACCCGATTTCCATTCAACTCAAGCTCCTCCAAAGCTTTCAACTCGTGCATGCCGCTAGCAACCTTCGAGCTGGTACAGGCATTAAAGATCGAGACTAGCAAGATCAACTACCGACTATCGAGGATGGAAGACTCTGCAATGGGTGCTGAGGCTGTGCAATCTGGAATGGCTCAGCAAATAAAAAAAATGAAAGAGGGCCTGTCGCGCCTGTCGCAGAGGATGAACGACATACATAATTTGCTGCTAGTGACATCCATAGCAAACCAAGCCCCATTACCGGAAGCAGAAACGCGTATCCTCGCCGAGGTTTCTGACCTTCTGGTGCGGCATAGTGTGCACCTTCAGGAAATTGACAGTCGAAAGTAAGTGCTCATTGGTGTACTGATTCCCGAGACGCCCATTTCTATCAATTTTTCACTCACAGTTTGATGATAACTGAGGATCTCAACTCAGCCAAGTTGGTGTCAGAACGCTTTCTAGGCCCCGGATTGTTGTGAGCCACCGTGAAATTTATTCCGAACATTCAATAATTAAGGTCTATCATATTCAGGGAACCTGCACCTACTACAGCAGCAAGGCAACGGCCGAAAAGTGACATCACGGGGTCTCGAATGACAGAGACATGGCATGTTCACCAACCTTTGTGTACCTTGCCTTCTGACATCGCGACTGCAACAGGCGCTATTCAGTTATCGTCGATCGTGACACATTATTTGACGACCTCGAGCGGTCAGTATTGAATGCTGATGCATCCTTTCTGTCTGACTATGCCTAATAATGCTTGTAGTTTGGGCATCTCTAACCCATCGTCTCCATCACTACAAGCAGAAAATCTTCCCAAATATCTAACTGTTCCGACTCTATTGGAATCCCGTGGGCATCATCGGAGCACGAGCGAAGGACCGTAAGTCTTCATTTTCCTGCATCTGGCATTAACCTACTTATGTTGGGGCGTCAGACCTTCGTATGACCGAGATAAACTTCTCGGAACATTCACTTGGACGAAAAGACAAGAAGCTGTACAGTACGTCATTAGT